AGGTTCCTGCCCATCTCTCCTCCAACCTAGGACAAAGGGACTGCTGTCAGCAAAGGCGATTCAGCTCCTCAGCTACTGAGATTCCGAAAGCACTTTAAGAAGCTGTGATGGTAGCAAAAGAGTCTTTTGAGCTCGTTTGCACAAACGCAGATGCTCAGAGCTTTTTTCTGGCTTTCATCCCTGAAGAGGGTGTTTTTTTTCAGAGAGAGAGAGAGAGAGTTAGTTTTGCACTTGTCAACAGAGAAGCCTCAAAAGAACATTGGAAAGCGACGTCTGAGGAAGTCTGAGAAAGTGGGCACTACAAAGGGCTTCCTGGGACATAAGAGAGAGATGTAACATGGCAGCTTTTTAATATATATTTACACAACATAGCATCAAAATACAGAGGCTATAGCTGGTCAGAAACTTGCAAAATGTGTGACTGAACACGGGTTAACTCATTTTGCAGTCAGCAAAGTGCTTCCCCGATCAGCTGATAAACTTCCTTTCTGTGAGAATAGCTTGGGGCTTCCAGATCCAAGGCTGCTCTGTGGCATATCCAGAGCCAAGATGGAAAGGCCACCTTTTTTAAAAAAGGTAGGATTTTAAGCTTTATACTTCTGGACCTGAAGCTAAGTTGTGTCCCACATGCAATCAATGCACAGCTTATTGTGTTTATTCTAGAAAACCAGCAGACGAGAATGACAAATGAACCACGATGGGTTTCAGTATTTCCAGTTTCTTATATAACCCCACTCTCAGGAACGTCTCTTCATTGCTCACTACTCACTGGGGGCACATTCCTCGGAAAACCTGGAAAGCAACCTAGACTTCATGCAGCTGTCTGTATCTTCAAAAAGTATGTGAGATGCAGAGGGGAAAATACAGATGCTATACATCCAAACACCCCAAAGAAGCGCCATTTACTCAAAGTGGATCAATTCAAATTATCCTTAAAAATCTGGGCAAAATCTACATCGAAAGGAAAAGAGTCCAGTGGCAATCCAGAGAAACTACCACACCAACCGGAGCACCACTGTCCGTCCGTCCATCCGTCCGTCCCTCCCAACCCACAACGGAATGGAAATGGCAAGAGAGGGAAGGAGGGAGGGGGGAAATCCCCCACAGAGATAAAGGGGGAGGAGTGAGGAAGAAGCACGATCAATAAATCTTAACCTCATTGGAGCTCTTATTAAGTAAATTAATTTAAGTTAATTTAACTCGATCATGACTCCCGATCACAGTGATTTAGCGAGGGGGGAAATTGCATTAGGAAAGGCAGCCACACACGAGATAGAGGAACGGAAGAAAATTAGATCCACTTAGCAATGTGAATTAATATGGAAATAGCAGGTGTAAATTTAACCTTATCAAGAGAGTGAAAATTATCTTCATAAATTTGTAGAAATAGCCCCCAAGTCGCTTATAAATCTATTTAAAACAAAAATATTACAAAAGTGCAGTAAAATTAATTTAAAATATACTCCCATCTATTGCCTCCAGAAAAGTCAGTGGCCGGGTGAAGTTTAATGCAATCCAGCAATAAAGGGAGGGAGGAACTAGCCGCCGAGGGATTGGCCTCGGGCGGGTGGGATCTGAAGGTCCCCCATCCCTCACTTTCTCCCCCACCTCTCACGATGCACCGTTAACATTGACCCCTAAACCAGTATGCTATGGTGGGAGGGGCTGCCCTCTCCATGCGGGCCTCGCGCCCCAGTGCCCCGGACACAGAACAAAGGAAAGCTGCACCAGCAGGAAAGGCTCCCGGTTGGGCAAGCCAACTCTTTAAGGGTCCACCTGAAGTCCATTTAGAAACCACGTAAATCAAGAGGGCCCAACGGCAGGGTCTCCCTCGTCCCTCGCAGATAACCCAGGGAGTTCCATCAGCGCAAGCGTCAATTCCCCGCGACCAGCAACTCCTAGTCTATCCTGTCTATCCAGAGAAGACAAGATGTGTTGGAGGAAAGTGGGGGGGGGGACCACACTGCAACCACATAATTATACAGGTGTGGGGTGGCTTCTATGCTGCTGAAGTTATTGTTTACTATTTACTTATTTGCTTGCATTTGTACCCACCTTTTAGATTAGGAAATAGATTGGATGGTAACAACCCACAGAGATGCACAAAAAAGGAGGCAGGATGGAGATGTTGCAACAGGTCAGGTGTGCGCATGTGTTCTGAGCACCTAAAGAACCAAGAATGCAACCACAGATGGAGCAACCACAGAGGGACTCCGACTCTCCTCCTCCCACCAGATGCCCTCGGTAGTAAAAGGTCTGATTTTATTCCTTTCTTGAACAAAATCCACCACCATACACGTATCAGGCAGGCCTTAGACAAATGTCAGGAGATACAGCCCAGAACGTATAAGCAGAAGTGTTACAAACAAGATTTTAAAATAACAAGCTATCTGGAGGTATAAAAACCATCCTGCCCAGGCTTGTCATACCATAGCATCTCATGCGACAACAGTACCAACCCAGGCTTCCTAAGGGTCTTCTCGCAGGAAGTGGGGTAAACATGGAGTAGGTGGATAACAGGAATACACAGAAAACATTAGTATCAAACCAAGAAATAAGAACCCAACGGAGAGGGGATGCACGGAGGCACAGGCTGCCTGGGTTGATCAGATTGTAATGTCCACCACCCCATGCACATGGAATACGGTGCAGTAGTAGGACTAAAAGGTCGATGTCCTCATTGTCAAGAACCCAGACCTCCACAAACAGGACTTCACATAGCTGTTCGGAAACAGCACTTTTCAAATACTTGAAAAGTAGTCCTACAGAGGAGGGGCAGGATATTTTCTTGATCATCCCAGAGTGCAAAACTCGAGCTATAGGAAGCCAGATTCCAGCGGAATCAGGGAAAACTTGTTAACTGTTAGAAGGGTATGACAATGGAACCCGTGGCCTCGGGAGGTGGTGAGCGCTCCAACGCGGGAGGCACTCAAGGGAAAATTGAACAGCCATCTGTCAGATTTGGTTGGATTTGGATTCCTGCCTTCAGCAGGGTTGCAAATCATTTTCATGAATGCAGTGCCTCCCAAATACTGAGCGAAACCAATTCTTGTTTTACAATGAGTATGAACAATCATAATGTACAACAACAGTCAACATACACACAACACTTTTCTAAACAGAGTATGTACCCTACATAAAAGCAGTCCTGGCCTCACTTTGGTCAAGCAGGATGTGGGTATTCATTGTTTTCTACAGCCATGGGGAATGACAATCAACTGTTTTTGGAAAGTGGGAAATGCTTTTAAACTTCTGAAATAACAAATTGTGTTGACACTACCAAGTCTTCTGAAGATGCCCATGGCCACAGAGACTGGTGAAACGTTAGGAAGAACAACCTTCAGAACACAGCCAAAGAGCCCGAAAAACCCACAACAACCATGTTTTCAAACTTTAAGAAACACTGGATAATCAGCTTCTTTTTAAACAAGGAGAATATCAGCATTCCTTTTATTTCACTAAGTAATTGAGAAAGTTTATTCTATGTGATTTTTAAATTCACCCCCCCACACACACTTTTTTTTAAGTCAGCTGCCTGACTTATTTGCAGGACTTTATAACATATATGGTCACCTTAAACTAATTACACTTGCAAATTGAAATTGGTCACCCAATGGAATGTTCATGTTGATTGAAAGCAATCTCGAAAGGATAACCACTTGAAAGAGCTCGGAAGAATAACAAGAACAATTCAGGATGGAAAAGGGACAATTTGAAAGGGAAAGCTTCTAGAAAAGTTTTGTTTCCCCCCCCCCTTTTTTTTTTAATTTTATGGTGAGATGTTAAGATTGTGGCTATTCCAACAAAGCCGTCTACAGCAGCTTGACAATTTTTCCCTTTATGACCCAACGTTTCCTGGCACCAGCTGAGCAACCTTTAAAGAGGCACTGAAAGGGTTACCTGGATGCGGAGAGCCTTCTGGTCCTCCAGCCATGGGCAGGGCTGCTGAAAGATGCTGAAGAGCCCGAAGGAGGCAGGGCAGTCTTCTTCACAATCCTATAGCGAGTATTTACCACTTTATTCGGGCCCGCGAGGAGGAAGCTGGATCCTGGGATTTAAAGAGAGAAAGAGAGAATAAATAAAAATTGGCAGCAGAAACACAAGAAGCATAACGGAACTGGTGTGAAGAACCAAGTGGGATCTGTACCACTGAAAGGCAGGTAGGTTCTTGAGCAATCCACACTGCAGTGGGTCGAACGGCCTTGCCTGGGTGCCACTCAAACATACAAAACGGAGCACCACCAGGTTTGCATTTAAACTTGAGCCTGTGATCCCCAAAGACGTAAACTGGTTAAATATTGTCTACCCACCCTAAATACAAAATGATCATTAAAGGAGGAGGTTAAAAAAAATCTTCAAAATTTTTCTCCAAGTGTTACAGAAATAGATAGATCAGAAATGATAAGCCACATTATTTATTACTGTAAATTATTTAATCTCAGAACCTAAACTCTATAAGTGTTTTGATAAACAATCAATCAAAGAAAGAAAGAAAGAAAGAAAGAAAGAAAGAAAGAAAGAAAGGAGGGAGGAAAATGTTATGCTGAGTGTTTGCCTGTGGGTGGAGGGAAGACTTTAATTTGTTGTACATCTTGAAATTAAAGTTATTTGTACACACAGTTATCCAACATAGAGTGAGACCAACATAAGGACAGGATACATAGGGGAGGAAGGGGCACATTACCCAGTACTCCAGATGTTCCTGGATGGCAAATTCCTACAGACTGAGCCGGGACAGCCAAAGGGAAGGCATCAGATGGGAGCCGCAGCCCTCTTGGGCTGGCCTGCCACCCACTCGAGGCTCCAAAGTCTTGGGAAACGATACACAAACTGATTATACCAGGAACTGAACTCAGGATCTGACGCAGTCAGACCATGTGCTCCATCACTAAGCTAGGAAGCTTGGTCTCTTTCCTTTCCATCTGAACAGTCTTCCAGAACTTTCGCCAGCGGTGAGGACAGGCAAAAGTCGGGGGGGGGGCGCAAAAAGTGCAGGGAAAGACTGGAGGTGTCCTTAGGTTAAGGAAGATTAATGTCATAGTGAGACAGGCTGGCTCTTTCCAAAGAAACAATGCATTTATCAAACCCAGGGAGATAAGGGCAAAAAGCAAAAAAGAGTTTAGATCACATGAAGCCCAGAACAGGAATGGAAGTAGGAAAAGAAGCTTCTAAAGGCAGCTGCAATTCTCTGTAACAATTTTTTTAGAAAACAGGGAGCAGGGTTTTTGTTGGGGAACAGATGATTTCAGTGGAGATGGACCAGAATGATGCATGTAATTTCATGCAAATGCTCCTAAAAGACTCTTTCTTCACCACTGAAATGTGAGCTCCGAGCAGCTGTTCAGCAGCCTTAAGGGCTTCTCATCATGTAAGCCCCCCAGTGCTTAAATATCCACATATATGCACATGGTTGTAGCCAGTTCTTTGGCCCGGTGGGTTCCACAGGCAAAGACCTTGTTCAAGTTTTTCCAGAGTCTCACAGTCTTTCTTCAAATCAAACACAATACAGTACATTCAACTCATACCGAAGGATGAGTGTGGAAGCAACGTTTCTACTACCCACACAGCATTACAATACATCAACACAGTGGTCCCCAACCTTGGGCCTCCAGATATTCTTGGACTACAACTCCCAGAAGCCTTCACCACCACCTCTGATGGCCAGGATTTCTGGGAGTTGAAGTCCAAGAACATCTGGAGGCCCAAGGTTGAGGATCACTGCATCAACAAACCAACACATTACACTCCAGCCTCATTTGTCCCTGGTATCAGCAATACAGGGAAGTCACGGATCACAACAGAAAATGCCATTTGATTCTGTGCCCTTAACATCATCAGGTCCTTTCACTAGGGAATGAAAGGCACTGTAGTTTTTGATGGCAACATCAGATGCCTTTGACATCCGAAGAAGAGTGAAACAGGGCTGTGTCCTCGCACCGACCCTGTTTGGGATCTTTTTTGCTGTCATGCTGAAGCACGCCTTTGGAACTGCAACAGAAGGTGTCTATCTCCGGACTAGATCAGACAGAAAGCTCTTTAATCTCTCTAGACTGAGAGCAAAGATCAAAGTCCAACTGAAATGCATGCCGGACTTTCTCTTCGCCGATGATGCACCCATTGTTGCCCACTCTGCTGAAGACCTCCAACAACTCATGAATCATTTTAGCAAGGCCTGTCAAGACTTTGGACTAACTATCAGCCTGAAGAAAACACAAGTCATGGGCCAGGGTGTGGACTCACCTCCCTCTACAGTGCGGTCTTGACTTGAGAACTTCATCCGTATTGGAAGGCAGTTCTCAAGTCAAAAAGTTCTCAGGTCAAATCTGCATTTCCCATAGGAATGCATTGAAAACCATTTGATCCGTACCTGCTCTTTTCCGTCCATAGAAACTAATGGGAAGCTGCTATTCTGCCTTCGACCACTAGAGGGGGATATTTTGTTTCTTTTTTTCTTAGGTCAAGAAAGGTTCAGGGAAGGCAGGGAAAAGACAGTCCAGGCAGTACCAGGCAGTCCGAAGACTGTCTCCCAATCCACTCTCTAAACGCTGGGAGGAGTGAGGAAGCAGACAGGCACCCTTTTCACTGGCCAACAGTTAACTGAAAGTTCACATTTTGCACTTTCCCTGCCTCCCACGTGGGTTTTTTTCAGTTCTTAACTCAAATCTAAGTATGTAAGTCAAGTCAATATTTTCCTATGAGAGCGGTTCTTAAGTCAAAATGTTCTTAACTCAAGTCGTTCTTAAGTCAAGACCCCACTGTATTACTATCTCCACACAAGAATTGGAGGTTGTTCATGAATTTGTGTACCTTGGCTCAACAATCTCTGACACTGTCTCCCTAGATGTCGAGCTGGATAAACGCATTGGGAAAGCAGCCACCATGTTCTCTAGACATACAAAGAGAGTGTGGCTTAATAAGAAGCTGACAGCATATACCAAGATCCAGGTCTATAGAGCCTGTGTCCTGAGCACACTCCTGTACCGCAGGGAGTCCTGGACTCTTTGTGCACAGAAGGAGAGGAAGCTGAACACCTTCCATATGCATTGCCTCCAACGGATTTTGGGTATCATCTGGCAGGACAAAGTTCCAAACAAAGTAGTCCTAGAACGAGCTGGAATTTTTAGCATGTATACATTACTGAAACCATAACGTCTACGTTGGCTTGGGCATGTTGCGAGAATGGCTGGTGGTCGGATTCCAAAAGATCTCCTGTATGGAGAATGCGTGCAGGGAAATCGCCCCAGAGGGAGACCACAGCTGCGATCCAAGGAGATCTGCAAGTGAGATCTAAAGTCCTTAGGAATGGACCTCCACAGATGGGAAACCTTGACCTCTGAGCGTTCAGCCTGGAGGCAGACGGTGCAGCATGGCCTCTCCCAATTTGAAGAGACCCTTGTCCAGCAGGCCGAGGCCAAGAGGCAGTCCCGAAAGCAGCACAACCAGGGAGCGGGACAGGGGACATATTGCATTTGTCTTCAGTGTGGAAGGGATGGTCACTCTCGAATTGGCCTTCTCAGCCACACTAGACGCTGTTCCAAGTCCTTTATTCAGAGCACATTACCATAGTCTCTTGAGATTCAAGGATGCCTAATCTAATCTGTACCCTATCTCCATTCTCACAGACCGATGAAGGTATTTGCTTCTTTCCATGTAGTATCCAGCTTGGCTTATTTGCTCAAGCCACCGGTGTGGCCCAGCTCTACATGCATTCCATTGTAACACACAAAGCCTCTCTCTGTTCCTCTGACTGCAGCACTTTTAGCTGCATGGCATGATCTTTGCCCAACCCATCTTTTCCTAGGGTAGTAACTTGGAAATCAGGATATTTGTGGTCCCTTTGTGATTCTGTGCTTACAATACACTCAGAGGACATGAGAGCTGGAGGACGGCTTTCTCTAGATATTATGGATTCTCATTCACGGCAAGTGCCTTTGGACCCATCCCGCCCTCATTTAGAAAGAACACCTTTATCAGTGACATCTAAACTCCCAAACAGATTTATGTATTTAATCATTTCTGCTCTCACAATATTTTGCAATGTGATATACACACCATTTTTTTCTGCTGAATGCTCCATGCAATTAACAGCTATATGTTTGATTCTGTTTCTTCCCCTTCTTGATAGCCAGCAATTTTTTTCCCGCAGCTTTAAGGAATGCATCTAATTGCCTGACTTTTATAACATACAGCTATAACTGCCCAGATAATTAAAGCTGACACTACATGCTGAGACTAAGTCGGCTGGTTTTTATAACTGATTTGAAGAGATGACTCCCCCACCCTCTTGGGAATCCTCTAATTAAAATTATTGCAAGGTGGAAAGTGGAAAGGGGAAGGCCCATATTTTTTCCCCCTGAATTTCTTCTATCTGCCTTGGGGAAGGCAACCTTCATATTCCCTGCTAGCTGAGCCAGGCAACTTCTAAGGACAATACATCCGGATCAGCACCTTATTAAAAAGCCATTGGAGGTAGCCTTGCTGAAGGTATCTTCTCTATGGCAGGGACCCAAATTTAGCCCAGGTTACCCTGGCCAGGCTGCACGTCCAGTTCAACACAAGCTACCCTGTTTCCCCAAAAATAAGACCTAACCTGAAAGTAAGTCGTAGTATGATTTTTCAGGATGCTCGTGATATAAGCCCTACCCCAAAAAATAAGCACCAGTTCAGTGAAACCCCACCCTCCACCCTTGTGCAGCCGCCAGAAGAAGATGTTGTTTAGTCGTTTAGTTGTGTCCGACTCTTCATGACTCCATGGACCAGGGCACGCCAGGCCCTCCTGTCTTCCACAATAAGATGACAGGACTGTATTTGAAGAAATGTAGATGGCTGTACATGACAAAAAATATCCCCTGAAAATAGGCCCTAATGCGTTTTTATTTTTTTTTGAGCAAAAATTAATATAAGACCTTGTCTTGTTTTTGGGGAAACATGGTACTGTAGTTAAAACTCACTTGCCTTGAACCGAGAGGGCAAGTGGTCTTTGAAGCCCCGCTTCAATAGGACGTCAGTTGGGAACAAAGCCCTTCTAACAACTCATCCTCTTGTAAT